GACTGAGAGCTAGCAGTTTTGCCTAAAGGTAATGGGAAGGGAGAGGTTTTTTTGGGGGGGGCCTTTCCAGCTGAGATACCTCCTGATACCACCGCTACTCAATAGCCTTTCCTAAACAAATAACACAACCACACCACAGTTTTCCGCATACAAGATGGGTTCCTTTTATGGAAGAGGTAACGATTGCCAACAGAGACACGACTGCTCACTCGGCTCTTTCTCCCTCTGTCCTTCTCTTCTGTGACTGGATCAGGAACCTACCTCTGTGTAAGACCCCCCCCCCGTCCCCTCCACCGACAGGACGGGCTGCTGCTGCTGCTGCTGCTTTTAGTGTCTTTGTCTCCATAGAGCTTCTCCCTGCGGCCCCGGCTCCTGTTTGGTTTCCCAGTTTATCTTTCCTCAGGCTCCCGGGATAACCACCCAGATTGCGGAGGTCCTTTCTGTTACCACACGTACACCCTTTCGCATGTATTCTTAGACATGTATGGACTCTCTGACATGGGGTCAGGACACTTGCCCGGAACCACAACCAATTTGGGGGAATTCTGGCAAGGTCAGTAAGAAGTAATCAAGCCCACCCAGCTGCTGGATAGGAATTAGAGTCTGCACTCAGGAAGAGCTTGCTCTTGCTGATGAAATTACCTTGGTAGACCAAGGTGGGTGCCTGGCTTTGCAAGCCCCCGTGGCCTGCAGAGGTCCCGTATGTGAACTGGTTTCCCACCCAGGTTTTGGCCGCCTGTCAGCGTAGCCGGAGGAGAGCCGTGACCTCCCCTTCTCCATAACACAGCATTGCCAGCTCCTAAAACGGCTGCCAAAGCGAACCTGACCATGATGGAGCCAGAGCAGGCAGCACAGAGCCAGGAAGTGGGTCCTGTGTAACCCCCTCAGTTTATTTCCTCCCCACCCCACCCCCTTCACAGGGAGGGTTGCCAAGCTCTATGCAAGACCTAGAGATCTCCTGGAATTCCAGGACCTCTCCAGACCACAGAGATCAGTTCCGCTGGAGCAGATGGCAGTTTTGGAGGGTGGGCTGTCTGGCATGACTCCCCACTGGTGTCCCTCTCCTTCCCAGTCTCAATCTCCAAATCTCCAGGAATGTCCCAGCCTAAGGACAGGAGAGTGTGTGTGTGGGGGGGGAGATACAACACAGCAGCCAGAACTCTCCAGGCTTCTGCCACTGCTCCAGTCACGGTCAAAGGCAGGCCCACCTAAGAATCTGATGGGGGGGGGCTCCAACCTTGCCAGTTGCTGCTGCTGCAGGCAATGCACACCTGCTGGCCATTCCTCCCACTGCCACCCACATGTTTCTCAAGGGTCCACACATTCAAATGCTTGCCGACCTTTTACGTGAACTTTGCCACCTGCTCTGCATTTAACTTAATTTCTGAGCAGACACCAGAAACGCAAAGAAGGTAAATGGTGACAAACCGTTGGGGCAACGGGGGGGGGCTGCCCTCTTCAAGACCTACCATGACTCAGATACTGACAGGAGGAACTTTTCTGTATGAGTTACGTGGGGGGGGGGGGTAGACCAGGCCTGCAGCTACAGTGGGGCATTTTGGGGCCTGCCCCCCGACTTCCATCCAGCACCCCCCCCCGGCTCTCTGGGCCACCCTCTAAGCCGCCTAGAGGACTCCCAAATGCCTCCTCTTCCCCAAGCATGGCTTGCTTCCCCCAAGCACAGGCAGAGTGCGAATGCTGCAAAAGTGAGTTTTGAAATATTTTATTTTATATTTTATTTGGTGACGTCAGTGCCCCCTGACGTATTTAAAGGCTCCCCGACTTATAAAGTCCCAGCTATGGGCCTGGGTTAGACCCAGCTTTGTGGAGCAGGAGGGTAAAAGTGCGACAGGATATTGCCAAGATGGCTGCCGGCCATGAAAACTCCACCCACTGGCATGAACGGACATGCAGGGAGGGATTATAGCACACAGACACAGCAGAAGCAAAAGGAGCTGGACAGAACACAAATCCAGTACAAGTGCTCCAAAAGAGATCTCTGAACCTCCCCCTCCCCCCACACACCCCCCTTAATAACACAGACGTTTCTCCTTTGTTAGGATGCCGTCATCAATCTCCAGTCAGTGCAAGAGTTGGGCAGGCAGCTGAGTTTTGAATGGCCGATGGTTGCCAGCGAGCTGGGATTTCATCGTGCCGAGATAAGCCAGTTCCACGCAGCTACGCCTGAGAAGACGGCTCAAGCCCAGAAGATGCTGGAGTGCTGGTATGTGGTTGCTGCCTGTGCTTCATGCTTCCACACTAGCATTTGCCGTACTCGTTGCTGAACGATGCTACGGCTGCTCTCTGAAGAAAACTCCCCAAAGAGCTAGAGTCGGCAGCCGATGGTATCCACCTCTGTATCCTGTCCACCATCTTGGGAGTTAGTAGAGGCAGAAGCAAACATGGCAGGTAGTTCAATGCTGCTGATTCAATTTCCTTGTCCGGCTGTGTACCGTCAGTCACTCTTTTCAGTCACTCGGCCTCTCTGCCCTGTTGTTGGCCCGCCAGAGGAACTGGCTAGCCCCTGTGTGAGACGGGAGGCTGGACTGGAGGGACCCTCCCTGGTCTGACCCAGCAGGGCTCTTCTGGTGGTCTTATCAGGGGAAGGCCTCGGCCTCTTTGCCCTGTTGTTGGCCCGCCAGAGGAACTGGCTAGCCCCTGTGTGAGACGGGAGGCTGGACTGGAGGGACCCTCCCTGGTCTGACCCAGCAGGGCTCTTCTGGTGGTCTTATCAGGGGAAGGCCTCGGCCTCTTTGCCCTGTTGTTGGCCCGCCAGAGGAACTGGCTAGCCCCTGTGTGAGACGGGAGGCTGGACTGGAGGGACCCTCCCTGGTCTGACCCAGCAGGGCTCTTCTGAAGGACGTAGCCTCTATGTTCTGTGGTTGGACCTTCAGAGGAACTGGTTGGCCACTGTGTGAACAATGAAGATACTGCTTTAATTGCATGCATTATCCAGAAGGGAATTGTTGATTGTGAGAGCTTGAAGTAGCCACCTTTGAAACTATGCACATATTGTTGAAAACCATGTACTGAAGACAAACAACTACAAACTGACGTTTGATAAAGACGCAAAGTCGAAACGGACAGTCAAGCCTGGGAAAGTTCGTCCTGCTTGTGCTGAGACTTTGGTCTCTTGATGCTATTCAGCTGTTGAAACAAAACAACAATTAAAGCAGTATCTTCATTGTTTATTCATTATACTGTGAACTTGTTCAGCAATGTGTTTTTTGCATGTTTGATCTGAATTGCTGGGTCCTATTCACCCTTGTTGGCCACTGTGTGAGACAGGAAGTTAGACTAGATCTGGTCTGGTCCAGCAGGGCTCTTCTGATGTTCCTCCAAACGTTCTATTATGCTTGTTCTACTCCTGATCCTTCAGAAGCACAAAGTTGAGCACAAACAGGGAAGAACCCAATTGGCCCTTTCTAAATATTAAAACAGGGGAGGAGAAAGGAGAATGTGACCTCCAGTGTTAAAGGAAGGCAGCAGATACAGTTCCCTGCCAAAAGAGGTATCTCCCAGATATAGGATATGGGAGACCCAGGTCTGAATCCCCACTTTGACAGGGAAATTTACTGTGTGACCTTGGTTCATGTCAGTCTTAAAATGCTACTAGTTTGCTACAAGAGACTAACATTTATTTCAATAGCCAGATTCCAGTCCTTAGAGCCCTTAGGGGCCAACGAGATGTCCTGGTATAAGCTTTTGAAGATCAAAGCTCCCTTTGTCAAAAGCTCATACCTGAAAAATCCTGTTGGTCTCTGTTGCAAACCAACACAACTACCCCCTGAAACGAAATTTATTTCAATATGAGCTTTCATAATTCACAGCTCACTTCTTCAAATAATAAGATGCAGAGAAGGGAGTTCTTCTGATGGGGAAGATTACAAGAGGGGAGGAGCTGAGGCAAGGAGGTTTGGTGTAAATTCCATCAGGAATCTTCCAAGTGTAAATTCTTTCTGTAAGGGAAACTTTTGAGTGGCCACAGCAGCTGCCGCTTGGCCAAGCATTTCTGAAGACTGTCTTAACAGCTGACTTTCCTGCAGTCACTGCATGCCTCTTCCTGCTGTGCACACACAGGTATGAACGGTCATGGAACAAACTGAACAAGACCAAACTGCTCCAAGACGCTCTGGAACGGTCTGGAAGGAAAGACCTTGCTGATAAACTCCGGTGCCTTCACTGGGGCCACCAGAAGCTCAGTGACCGTGTGGAGCTGCCGTCTGCTTTCCCCTTTCTCATTACTGTGTACAAGACTATCGACAACAAAGAAGGGCTTAAGAAAATCAACCAGCTGGGTCAAAAATAACACCTCGGAAACCCCAGCTCAGCCAGTGAGCTTGGAAAATTTCCAAGTCAACACATTTTTCAGCATAACAGTTCATTTACCTGTTCAGAACTCAAAACTGTGAATCCGGCAAATATTTACAACTATTTGTCACTTCTTAAAACAACCAGTCAGCTTAGCCCGGTCATCTCTGAATTATGAGTTCGTAAACAGTGTGTTTCTATGAGCCCTGATCACTTCTTTCGATCTATACTTTAAGATGTTATCTGATTTGGTGTTTAGAAATCTTAAAATAATAAGCCTGGGAAGGCATATGACTAAAATGTGTTTTGAACAAGGAGTAGGCATACGGGGCAACTGCGTTTTGGAAATGGACTGACATTCTGCCTGCGTGCTCGGTCTTCCTTTTTTGCACAGTATGTGCTAGAGTGCCCTGGCCAAAACACTCTCTCTCCCCTGGAGGAGTCTCTGCAAGGAGAGAAGCCAAGCCGGAGTCCTCCGTGGCCCAAGATGTTCTCCTGCTCCCACTGGTTAGTCCAGCCCCACCACAATTGCTGCACCAACCTGCAAGATGCTCAAATTCACATCTTTTTAAAAACCTAGCAGGCATTTCTGTGTGAACAATAAAATTCACAAAACAAAAAAAGCAATCAAAAGCGGAAAAAAACCCAGAAATCATAGCAACAGGAGAGCACCAGAGACAAATGTGGGTTTTTTGTTTGTTTAATAGAAGTCACTAATCTCCTTGTAGAGGTTTACAGTTGTGTTCTAGGTGTTCCACCAGAGCTTCCATCTCTGCTGCTTCCAACAATTTGCTGATCAGATCGTCCAGCGGCGCTCCGCCACACAGGAATTCCTAGCAAAAGATATTGGGTCGGGGGGGGGTTAAAGGAAGCTGCTCTAGACAGGAGAGAACCAAGTGATTTGGGAGGGTTTCCAGTAAACATGTTGCTGATGCTCAAGGTCTGCTTATTAGGTTTGCACGCGGGCCCATTCCGCAAGGCTCTCTAGTGCCATACTATTTTGATCTATAGCCCCTCCCCCTGGGTCAAAATAAGATGGCAACATCAGCACCACAGCAATGCACTTGGCTTGTATGCGGAAAGTCCCAGACTCGATCCCTGGTACTGCCCAGGTGAAAGGTCTGAAGCAGCAGGATGGGAAGAGAAGCCTGTCAAGAGTCTCGTGAAGGGGGCGCACCACGCCAAGAGAGGCAGACCAACCGCCCGACTCAGCAGGAGGCAGCTTCCGAGGACCACCCCTTTCCTTCATCACCCCTCATTTGAGAAGACTACCTTGATACTGCGGACTTCATAGGCGATCCTGTGGTCAGTGACTCTGTCTTGGCTGAAATTATACGTGCGAATTCTCTCTGACTGAGCTCTTGTCCCTAACTGTTGAAAAGAAATAAAAGTTTCATTTAGTATCAAAAACGATACTTGCTCTGTGATGACCTCTGTCCATTCTTTGTCTCGCTTCCCTCCCTCGACAGTGACTGCTCAGCTTTAACACGGGGCCTTGCCAAGAATTCCAACGGCACAAGGCCTTTACTCAGGGCTTTACTTCTACCGGGCACTGGGTCAAAGCCTGAGGCATGGCTGCCAATCCAGGATTCCTCTGCATGGTACCCACCCAGGGGTGCCCACTGGCCAGGTATTTTTTTAGAAAGCGGGCGGGGGGCCGGGTGGGGCTTTTGCCCAGTGAGGCTTCTGACGGCCCAGCAGGGATTCTGATTGGCTGCGCAGATTTTTAAAAAGTTGCTTCGGCAGCAGCTGCCACCACGACACAAAGATCTGGCCTTTAGTGCTATGTGTGTATATGCATGAGAAATATTTTTAAACCATAGGTTCATTTTAAAAACTATCCTGTTAAGCAGCATGTCTGCCTAAAATGTTGAATAATACAGGAAGGCCTCATTCCCCAACTGTGACGGTACCTCTCTCTTATTTTGTGTGGTTAGGTGTGATGTAGTTTTAAATTTCTTGTTGTTTCTTCCTCTCACTCAAAGTGTCTATCGCTGCCACCAGAGATTTAATTAACCTTTCCCACAGTATTGTGCCCAAGCTCTGAGGCTCCTTCGTTGGACTGTGTGGTTCTGAGGATAAGACTCTGGGTTAACAATAAACAAGATAAAACTTCATTGGTAAAAGAAGTGTACTAGTTACAAGATGTTTTGTTAAGTTGCTTAGTAGAATCTTTCACTTTTACTCAGGTCTCTGTCAGCTCCTCCCCCCCCCCCCCCCCCCCCGCGCTCTAATATTAGATTTTGCCTAAATTGCCCCCTGAAGTACTTTTCTTTCTCCTTTAGAATCTTAATGCCTTTCACAGCACTTCTAGATGATTTTAATGAGAAGACGGCTTCTCAGACTCTGTGTAGATTGACCACAATTGACAGCTGCTGACTTCCGACTGAACCCTCTGCCTTCTCTCTCTCTCTCTCTCTCTCTCTCTCTCTCTCTCTCTCTCTCTCTCTCCACGCTCATACACCTCCTATCTCTGTCTACACGCTCTCAGTCACCCACCGATCACCTCATTCACTCTTCGCCCTCTTTCAGCCCCTTGTTCTTCTGACACTTACCAACCATTTAAAGAAACACACACACACACGTAACTTGAAATCATTACACTGACATTTTGTATTGGCTGTGCCTCCTGCAGCAGCCATTTTGCAGCAGCGCCCCCCCCCCCCCCCCCCACCCACACGGGTTCAGGAGAACGTGGCTCAGCCAGGTTGGAGGGCCTCGTGACAATCTGAGGCCGGGGACAGACAGCCTCACCTGCAGCTTTCTGGCGCTGGTCTTTTTACTCAGCTCCCTCTCGATGGTCTGCTGGTACAGCTTCTCTCGCAGGGTCCGCAGGGCTGTTTCTTTATTCACCAGCTGAGATCGATCCTGTTGGCACTCGACAGTTATCCCTTCGGAACGTAAGAAAACATCCAGCACAAATCTCAAGATAGCAAGTTGCCCACATTCCGGTCAAATGGGGAAAACTCATGATCTGAGGAGCAAACTACGAACAAAGGTTTGTCTTTGTCTTCCATGTGACATTTACAATGCTGTCAGGAAGGCCGTCACCGCAGAGAAGCGTTGCATACCAATAAGGAGTAAATCCACCGTACAAGATTAGTATTTTCAAACAACTGACAAGTGAGCGAGTTCTAGGGGGGAAAGTCTATCAGCATTTCAGCACTGGAAAACAGAGTTTCAGTCCTTTGTTACGGTTAGTAGCTCTAATGGAAGCATAACCCAGACATATATTCATAACCAGACAGAGCAGAAGCTCTTAGCTTCATTTACTTCCTCCTCCTCTGCATTACATAAATAGGAACCGTGCTGGGGGGAAAGTTGTCTTGTTTACTCCAGCCAGCCTCTTGCTACTTTAAAGAAACAACAGAGTTTCCCCATTTTTCAATCTCCGCTGGAGGGTTTGTTCTGTGAGTGTGTCCAGTGCTGTCAAGCGGCTTCTGACTCATGGTGGGTGTCCTCCTAAGCATCCGACTGTTAGTAGCCTTGCTCGGGTCCTGCATATCGAGCACTGCAACTTCCCTGACAGAGTCCACCCCTCTCATGCTGGGTCTTCCGCTTTTCCTGCTGCCTTCCACTAATTAGGTCAAAAACTTTAGGGGACTCATCAAACCCCGATGTGCCCAACAGTCATGATAGGGTTGCCAGGTCCCTCCTGGAGACTGGCAGGGGATGGGGGGTACTTACAGGAAGAAAGAGGCCCAGGCCTCGTCACTGGTGTCTCGTGGGAAGTGACATAATTACGCCAGCAACTTCCAGGTGATGCTCTGGTATTTGGGCAAAAACTCTGATAAAACTGGAACGGGGGGGGGGGTTCCATTTTTTTTACAGTTTTGATTATCTTAAAAAAAAAAGACAGACTAGTGATGGGAAAGCCGAGGGGGGGGGGTAATGCAGAAATAAATTAGAAATTTTGGGGAGCACTTTTAAAATTTCCTCTAGGAAATATTTTTTTCTTTTAGATTGAACGGGATGTTTGTTAAGACAAGGGTTTTACTCACTCAAAATGTGTGGCATGAAGATTTTGATGCAGGACAATCTAAATAATTGGACAATAATTCCTCTGTACAGTATAGACACAGAACATATTTTCACGCATCTATTCTTTAAATGTGACTAGTTTTGCCCACAATATGTTATGTGTCTGACAATATGCTTCTGAGGAGTTCTATGCTTTTTAAATATCACATACACTTCTCTCAAATATCCAAATAGTTCTATTCGATGCACTTCCTTTTGCTTACAGAACACAAAATTTGTACTTTCTATTTTCAGCTTTTATTTTCTCCTACCTTTCAGATGACAAATTAACACATCTGTATTTGTAAACGTCACAAATTGCCAATAGTACAATTGTTTATGCTCTACATTATATGTGTGCTTTAAATTGTTTAAGCAGTAAAATTAGTTTAGGTGAATGAAATACTACATATATTTTAGTCCCCAAAACTTCAGTATTTTCTAAAAACATTTTCCCTGCATCTACATCTCTTCTTTTTCAGTGTATTACAGAGAAAGGTCATGTGATCCTTCTATTTTTGAAGCACTTAAAAACTAGCACTGTAATCCTTGCTACCTTAAGTTTCCACAAATTAAACCAAATGATTAAAGAATTTTTTTTCACTCACGTCATGCCATCTTTCTACTATGGATGCTGAACCCATGCACTCGGGCATATGTGAAAATCATGTACATGTCTGCTCTGCTGCTCAAATACACTCGCAATCCAATGCTGATTATGGCTGTCCAGCACATGTAAGCATCACAGAAACATACACACCAATTGTCACCCATGATGGTACATTTATTATTTATTTATCAAATTTATAGCCCTCTCCCTCTCCCCCAAACAGAACTCGGGGCACCGTGGTTTGACGACCTCTTTACACCCACGATGACCCTCTGGGACCCACCCCAGAGGAATGAGGAGAACCAGCTCCAGGTCATACCCCTCACACCCAGGGAGGCTGGGCAGCTGGCCAGGGCCAAATGGTGCACTGTGTCAAAGGCAGCAGACAGATCCAACAGGATCAGTAGCGCCATCCCACCTGCATCAAGGTGTAACCAGAGATCATCAGCCAGAGCAACTAGAGCTGTCTCAGTCCCAAACCCCGGCCGGAAGCCAGACTGGACGGGATATAGGGCGGATGTCTCATCCAGGAATCCCTGGAGCTGTTCAGACACAGCTTGCTCAGTCGCTTTCCCCAGAAATGGAAGATCAGATACTGAGCTGTGATTGGCTAGGTCCTGCTCATCTAACGATGACTTTTCCAGGAGGGGTGTCACCACTGCCTCCTTGAGGGAGCTGGGAAAGAACCCCGGGAGAGTGAGAGATTTCTGATGTCTCCCAAGGCTCCTCCTACCCCTTCCTGGAGGTTTTCACCAAGGAGCAGGTAGTAGGCCACACGGTGACAGGACCCTGTCAATATCTGCCTGGGACAGAATGTTGAAGGAATCTAAAAATGGACCCAATTGCACCAATAGAGCACTGTTCCTGGCTCCAAATCTGGCAGCCAACTCTTGGCAAAGGGGCAAGACCTCCTCCTCCTCCTCCGTCTTAAAAAAAAACCCCTCATGTAATAAAGCCGCTCAAGGCTCATCTCCACAGGAGTTCAAAATTTTTCTGCTTGAGATTCTACGTGGACTTGACATATTTATTTGTTTTAAATTTTTCGGATTTTAGTGAGTATTTTAAAGCAGAACCACAGAACTATCCAGTGTGTTGACACTCCGGAAAACATTTCTCTGGTGGAAAAAAACCAACGTGGGAAGAGAGAAATTTGCATGGGGGAAGCTGCAGCTACATCTCCTGCACAGGAGGAATTCCAGACCCTTGTTTTCTGTCACAAACACTGAGAAGTAGCCGCATGGTATCAGGGGGGACAGACTGAAGCAACCATTCTTCTGCCTCTCCCTCTCTAGACACCGCCTGGCACTGGTCAAGCAGTGCCCCCCCCCCCACATTTAAAGACATAAAGAACAGCCCCACTCTAAAACACTGTCAGAACACAATAATTTTAAGCGAGTAAAAGTGTCCTGCCCTGACTTGGATGGCCCAGACTAGCCTCTTCTTGTCAGATCTCAGAAGCTAAGCAGGGTCGGCCCTGGTTAGAACTCAGATGGGAGACCACCAAGGAAGTTTGGGGTTGCTACGTGGAGCCAGGCAATGGCAAGCCCCCTCTGAACATCTCGTGCCTTGAAAGCCCTACGGGGTGGCCATTAAGTCCGTTGCAATTGGATGGAACTTTCCACCACCACCACGTGTCGTACTGGAGTGTCAAGAAGAAGAAGAAGAAGAGATTGGATTTATACCCCATGGCCCTTCACTACCTGAAGGAGTCCCAGAGCAGCTGACAATCTCCTTTCCCTTCCCCTCCCCACAACAGGCACCCTGTGAGGTCGGCAGGGCTGAGAGAACTCTTGACAGAAACTTCTCTTTTTCAAGAACAGCTCTTATCAGAACTACGCCTTGCCCAAGGTCATCCAGCCAGGTGCAAGTGGAGGAGGAGTGGGGACTCAAACCTGGCTCTCCCAGAATAGAGTCAGTGCACTTAACCACTACACCAAATTGGCTCTCAGAAACTGAGTGAAATGACTGTGGCCCCACAATGAAAGACCCAGGGAAATCCGGCCCCTACTGTAGCTGAAGGCACACCTGAGCAAGAAAGCATTCTGCACGCTGATGCCGCTGTCTCCCTTATTCCCTTGTGGAAACCCAGTAAATCCAACTACCGCAGGCAGCAAGAGCGCAGACAACCCATGGGCCACGCACCTACAGCCAGCGTAGCCCCATTCCTGACTGGGCAACACTGCGGCCTGTTACTGTTCATCACTATAAAAGGGAATAGAGACTTACCTGTAGGAATGTGTACAATTCTCACAGCACTGTCTGTCTTATTAACGTGCTGACCTCCTGCCCCTCTGGATCGAAATGTATCTATCCGCAGATCTCTTGGGTCTACTTTGATCTGTACCTTGAGGGAAATGACAGTTTTACTACCATACATGAAGTCTCAGGGGGAAAGCTGGTAGGTTTTTTTTGTTTTTGTTCCTCATTAAATGCCTGGATTGAAAACTCTATGTCTCTTTCCATGGTGGACCGACTCTGTTTCCACCACCTGACAGGACTCCTCCTCGGCCAGGGCCACAGTGGGGTCAGTTCTGCCGCCAGGGGAGCGGCTGGAGAACAGCAGCCGAGTCAGGGCCCTGGGGCATGCACTCCCCACCTTGTCTTTTTGTCTGGTGATGTTCGAGTGAGGAAATGAACCCACAGCACTTCGGAACAGCTGAATGGGATCAGATTTCCTGTCTCCATAAGTCACCCAACACCCTCCTGCACAAGAAGGAAGACAGAAACAGACCCGTGCAGGAAAAATCCTAGGGCAGGGGTCACCAACACGGCGCTCATGGGCTTCACAGCTCCCGCCAACACCTTTCCTGGTGCCTCTCAAGTGTTTTTAGAAAGTGGGCAGGGCCAAGAGAGCCTTTTGCCCAGAGAGGATTCCGATTGGCTGTGCAGATTCTTTAACATGTTGCTTTGGCAGCAGCTGCCACCACAGCACAAGGATCCTCGCTGTGTGACTGAAGGTCGGCTGCGGCAGCCATTTTGTGGCTGTGCCCATCACACTGTCGCAGAATTCCAAAAGTGCCTGCAGGCTCAAAAAGGCTGAGGACCCTCGTCCTACCCTGGGGGATGGCGATCAGTTATGTACTGAACACAGTCAGCCATAGGGACGGGTAAGAGCCGTTCTCTGTCCAGAATGGCAAGAAGTGGTTGTGATATCTTACAACGGGGGGGGAGGGGGGGACCAAAAACCAGACATACTGGTTAGAAGCTACGTTTTGTAGAGAAACATCAAACACAAGCCTGCTGCTGTACTTTTCCCTTAAGATTTACCTCTTCTGTCTGGGGGAGGACAATAACGGACATGGTCCCCGTGTGGATTCGCTGCATTCTTGAAGATAAGCCAGTCTCAGGGATCCGCTGCACCCTGTGCGTACCTCCTTCATACTTCAAATGCCTGTAGACGCTCTCCCCGGAAATACGCGCGGCTGCGTGGTGTATCCCAGCTTCAAAGGAAAACAACGCGCGTTACCGATGGGGGGGAAATGGCCAAGAGGCAATCTTGGAAGCCAGCTGTGGGGCCGGCCGCCAAGACCATACCGTAGCCAGTTGGAGTGTAATTCAGAATCTCAAAGGTCCAGCGTTTGAAGTCAGCATAGCCCTGGTACATCTCAAACACTTCTTGTGTAAACTGCTGGCAAATGTCACCTAAAACATAAAAAAATGTCTTTTGATTTTCAGTATGAGCAGTAAAAAATTAAATTATCTTATGGCATTGCATGTAGTATAGACAGGAGATCCTAAGATTGTCTGGCAGCCTTAACTTCTAGCTCTTTTAGTGGCAAGCTAGACTTATTTTGGGACTGAGAGAGCTCTGAAAGAACTGTGACTGACCCAAGGTCACCCAGTTGACTTCATGTGAAGGAGGAGTGAGGAATCGAACCCGCTTCTCCAGATTAGAGTCCATCGATCTTAACCACTGTACCATGCTGACTTCCTAGTATGATCCATGTAAGCCAGATGTGGTATTACCTCCCCCAAACACACACACACACACCCTGATTTTCAACTGCTCTCAACACTGAGAACAATGAGCATGTTCAGTAGTATCCACCAGGCTGTTTGGGCATTTGGGTTTTTGTTTTTAAGGAATGAATGTGTGCCATTAGATGTGCATTCCCAAGTGCCAACTCCCCACCCCCACCCCAGTTCTCCAACTGACTCGTGCCTCACATGACTCTGATTCAGGGCTGGATGAGCAGGGTCCTGTTTGCCTAGCCGCGAACCTCAGTATCCAGGCAGCAGATTGCTAGACAGCTGGCCGGAGGAGCAGAAAGTCACTCCAGGCCTGGTGTTCAGCAGTGCTGGGCTGTTGCCTTTGGTGAGGGGAATTCCTCCTTCAGATCTTCACTTGATCAGTCTAATAGCGAACTTAATTGCAGATCACAAAAACAGTGACAGGGGCCTTCTGCAGAGGTGGGAGACTCCTTGGGTACGCAGAAAAACACTGGTTCCCCCAACCTGAACTTCTCCTCCATTCCAGATTACTGCAAGTTGTAAGGGGAATTTGTCTACATTTGCTGCTAAGAATCCTTTTCCGTTACCCGATTCTCAGCTGCTCTCAACATTCTGTGCTGGAACAGACAGTTTTGTTTTGCTTTGTGGGCACTTTTAACCTTCGGTACCCTTTAGCCCCAGACTTCCTTGCTGGTCTCCCATCCAAGTATGATACAAGGACTCCCTGTGGGCACTCCGTGAAACGGCTGAGCAGTCGGCTTAGAACAGATAAAAGGAAGTCCTTCTTCACCCAAAGAGTGATTCACACATGGAATTCACTGCCACAGTGTCACGAGTGCTGCCGAGGATGAGCTCCCAATTCCGGCAGAATCCACACCTGGCCCTAATGAAGCCGCAGAGGCTGCTCCAGCAACAACTGAGGCGGAACAACGCACGCAAAACAGCCCCCCTGATTCACCCCCACCGGTGGCCCAGTTGCAAGATCAGCGCCAGCGGGATTTGGCATGCCTGCACAGCAGGCAGTCTCTCAGCCCTGAGTTCTAAGAGGAGCCGGAACACAGGGGCGGTAATTGACAACAGCCCCGGAGGAATATTTAGCTCCTCACCCTTGTGCCAGCAACCACTCAGCCTGACGACGCTCAGCAACTAGTCAGCTTGATGACGCTCTGCACCCACCTCGCCTGTGTTCCCAATTCCTGTTTCCCGCTTTGAACTCTTGGCTTCTCGACCCTGGCTCTGACGACAATGCTCTTGGTTCGTGCCCTGGACTCTGGTGTCCTTTTGGCTCCTGACCCCCTGGACTCTGGCTTGACGACTACACTTGTGGTTTGTGCTTTGGACTTTTGGTTTCTTGACCTCTCGGCTTTCGACCTCGGACTGGACCCGGACTACCCCTCTCTCGCCCTGCCTGCACTCCAGCCCGTGACACGCAGGAAGTTTTAAATTGATTTTGATATTTTCTTTGAACAGTATTATTTTGGGTTTGGGTTTTCCTTTGACTGTGTATCTCACCTTTGGATTGTGCAGGAAGTGGTGGCGGCTATAAGCATAGACAGCTTCAAGAGCAGACAGGATAAACATATGGAGCAGAGGTCCATGAGTGGCTATTAGCCACAAGGAATAGATGGAGCACTCTGTCTGGGGCAAGGGATGCTCTGTATTCTTAGCGCTTGGGGGGGGGGCAACAGTGGGAGGGGGCTTCTAGTGTCCTGGCCCCGCTGGTGGACCTCCTGATGGCCCCTGGTATTTTTGGCCCCTGTGTGACAACAGAGTGTTGGACTGGATGGGCCGCTGGCCTGATCCAACATGGCTTCTCTGATGTTCTTACTGATCAAGGCTGGCCCTGCTTAAGCTTCCGAGACCTGACAAGATCAGGCTACCCTCGGCCTTCCAGGTCAGGGCTTTACAAAGTAAACTTCTACAGGGCAAGGGAGTGTTTCCAAAAACCCCTCCCTATTCTGTGCATATAGCCTGGTTTTCCTGCTTTCATGAGCCATCCACCTCAGACTTCATAGCAATGACGACTTTGAACAAACTGACTGTCACGTCAGAACGCAAAACAAACTCCTGCGAAGCCTTGAGCGTGGTTTGTAATGATCTTTACTGAGGATGCTTTTGCTGACCTCCAGTTGTCCTCCCAGACGTCACTTCTAGTACAGCATCGCAGTTGTCATATTTTTCCCTCGGTATCAAGATCTGGAAAAGCTGGGAAAGAAAGATAAATCAGAAGGCACAATACGGGGCGGGGTCTTCTGGCTATGGCGGCAGCTGGACCTCTAGGGCTGTGACTGGCACACGGTTCAGGAAGGAAAAACCGGCAGATGCTCCTCAGGGTTGCAGGAGCGTAAATGGAAATTAAACAATCATCTAGAGGCCTGTATCTGACTCACACAAAACCACAGAAATATAAATGTCAATCTTCATCCACCATGCCACTGTATGGAATGGGATATCTGAATTTTTATTGTGTCCTCCCATCATTTTTCACAAGCCGGATGAATGGGTGTCTCAGGAGGTGGTGGAGACAACACCGTGCCCCCCTCCTTCTCAGCCCCCCCCCCTCCACAGGGTCAAGCCTGGCATCTGCCAGGCCCAGTGAGGTGACGGAGGCCCCTTAGAAAGAGCCGCACTCCAGCCGGCTGATCAATAGTGGCAGCAGGCCCTTTAAGAGCCAGGTACCCAACAGACAGCTGGCCCTTTGACAGCCAGCTGTCTGACAAATCAGCTGTCAGGAAGCTCCACCCTGGGAGCGGGGAAGGGGAGTGACGGGCAGAAATTCCTCAGAAGGCACTACTGGTCCCTCATGGGCGTGGGCACGCCCCCCACCCCACCCGTCTTCTGGTAGAGGGAGGACCCTGGGCAGGCCCCAGGCCACACAAAGGCCATCCAAAGGCTTGAGAGGGGAGGCCCAGAAGGACAAACCAGCCCTGGCTCCCAGCTCAGGAGGGAGGACCGTGAGGCGAAAGGAGGTGCCTCACGAGTCCTGCCCCCTCTGCCTGATTCTACGCAGGCACGCTGGCAGAGCAAAGACGCGGCGCCTGCCGGGTAATGTTGGGATCCCAACAAAACTGAAGTAACCAGAGTTCCTGGGTGTAAAAGGCTCCGGCCGGAGCTCAGCTGCTCTTTCCCCCAGACTCTTCGGGGCAGCGTGCCTTTGCCTGCCCCTGGCCACCGAAGAACAGAGGGAGAGAAAGACCAGGTTGGAAGCCGCTGGCTGCCTCGGCAGCCCCACCACAAAGCCTCTGGTTTCCTTGCCCGGTGCGACACGTCCTTTCGGGTTACCAGGTGGCTGTAGATCATTTCCTTCCAGAGACCAGGGCCTGGTCCCAAAAATCCAGTCCAATCCACTTCGTTACTCTGCCGTTCATATTGTTAGTTACTTATTTTATTTACGGTCCACCTTTCTCAGTGGGATTCAAGGTGGATCGCACAGACTGCATCAATATGATCAACAGGATGGGACATTCAATAAGCAGTGCATTAGGACTGTAGCAGTCTGGAACCAACCAGCAATCTAAAAGACAGAACTGAAGTGTACCATAAATATTAACACAACACATTAAGCTGTGCAAAAATTACGCAGCAGGATTGTACTTCTAGTAAGCCACACACAGTAGTATAGATCACAGTCCCTAATAATTTGTCCAAGTAACTTTAGGAACCGTTCTGTACAGTGCAGCCCTGTTGCCTGTACAAAAAAGCCCCCCTGAATAGTTCAGTTTTGCATAGTTTGTGGAAAGCCGAGAGGGTGGAAGCTCCCCTGACCTCCTCGGGCAGGCCGTTCCATTGTAATCTTACCTGCACAACACCTTCCTCATCCCTTTTCATCCTCGTGACCTGTTGACCTGGCTACATCCAACAGAAAGATACAGTACCTCAGGAAAACTTCATGGAGTGCTACACAAATCAGGTTCATGTCCAAAGGGACAGATACACGAGGACAGGCGTCCTGCTCTGAGCTCGCAGGGCGTCTCAGCAGGGTCAGGCTCGTGGATCCTGTCCTTCCTGTCCGTGTGTCACTTGGTTTTCCCACACACCAGTGATGACCGCCTGGATCTACGTGTTTCAGGATCTTGTGCAGGCTTGTGCATATGCAAAATAGCTCTTCCACATGTACAAGGGTCTGAATACCACTCAAGGTAACTGAACTATTCCCTTTCCTGATCCCATCTCAACCCACAGCTCACCTTGCGACAAAGAGTGCTGATTCTCCGGTCAGCAGCTTCCTTTTCCTCTAGAGCAAGTTCTAGCAGCTGTCTCTCTTCTGGGGTGTTTAACTCTAAGGCCAATGGTAAAACAAAGCAAATGTTGAGGGGGGTTTCATTTCATTCAGAGCAAATCCTCCATGTCAACCCTCTTGCCACATTTTATTTCACTTTTGCCCACCCTTCCTAAATGCATGCACTCTCTCTCTCTTGTGAGCATGTGGTCGTGGTTTACAGTGCACATTTACACAATACAGCTTTGGAAAGGGACAAAAGACCTCAAAACAGAAGTATAAAATAGATTTGGGGATCATAAGGACACTGAGTTTTTAGCTTCTGCTACAAGAGAAAGTAAAAAATGTGTCCCAGTCGTAAATATGCCCGGGGCTGGGGCAGAGACTAGCAGCCCTATGGTGGCCCCTTCCTTTCTTCTCACCACATTATTGCTCATCTTTAGTTATTTTCCAGGCAACTAGACACCACCATGAGGCTGTTTACACTGTGCGAGAGTGTCCACGTCGTCCCCTCCTAGTGACCAGGATGAACAACCTCCCACCACCACCTCTGCTGCCTCTCCTTGTCTAGCTTACAGCAAGAAGGCCATTCACGTGAATGAAGAGAATAAGACAGCAGGAAAAAATGAACTAGGAAGGACAGTGGCAGCTACATACAGAAAAAACATTCAAACTAATCCACATGTTTCTGGTCAGGGATTAAAGGTGAGCCCAGGATCCCAAATGGTGCCTATTGTCATACAGTAAACTAATACCCTGAAAAATTTAATTCCGATTGCTCCTGGCCGTGGTGGCGGAAAGTGCCGTCAAATCACAGTCAGCTTATGGCGACCCCACAGGGTTTTCAAGGCACAAGACAAACAGAGGTGATTGGCCCCCACCTGCCTCTGCATATTGGTCCTGGATTTCCTGGGGGGTTTTCCCTCCAAATACCAGCCAGGGCCGACCCTGCTTAGCTTCCAAGATCTGACGGAATCAGGCTAGCCTGGGCCATCCAGGTATTATTTACTTATCATATGGCAGAATTACACAAAGGAAGCATATAATAATATAAAATACGTAACCAAGTTGATACAAGGGGCATGCAGACAGATTGGGCAATCCCCCTAAATATTAATATCTAGATTTTCAGTCCATTCAATCGCAGCCGGGGAGAGTTCAGAGAGCTCCATCACATCTCCCTGGAAAGCAAGATGCTCACATTCCTGTGACAGATGGAAAATAGTTTTGAGGGCAGCACCACAATCGCATTCCGTATTTTGCCCCATTTAAACAGGTCTGCACAGCTGCCGAAGCCGTCCAGGTCAGGGCAAGAGAGTCGTTCAGAGGTGGTCTGCCACTGCCTGCCTGTGCACAATGACCCTGGACTTCCTTGGTGGTCTCCAGTCCAAGTACAAACCGGGGCTGACCCTGCTTGGCTTCTGAGATCTCAGAGGACTGGGACAGCCCGGGCCACCCAGGTCAGGGCCCCCTTATTACGCTCCTTCAAAATGTTCTAGAGAGGAATGCAAGCGGCTTTCAGGCAGCAGGACGAGCTGATCTCTGAGGGAAGAGGGGCCCCTAAAGGGAGACTGGATCGTCTGGACCAGCCTGGGATTTCAGACAAGGCTTTGTAGCATTTCGACTCATTGCTGTTTGTAGCGATATCTGAATTCACAAAAGCAGTCTGTTGAGCAGCATCAGGCTTTGTGGCCACTGCGACAACAGTACCGGGCTGGGAGTTGAAGAGGCAACAAGCTGGGGTCTATGCAGTTGCACATCCTGGGATTGGCTGTTTATGTGCAAGTTTGGTGTTGTGGTGAGGAGCGCAGACTCTAATCTGGGAGAAGTGGGTTTGATTCCCCATTCCTCCACATGCAGCTGCTAGCTGCTGGTGTGACCTTGGGTCAGTCACAAGTTCTTTCAGAGCTGTTCTCTCAAGAGCAGTCCTCAAAAGAGCTCTCTCAGCCCCACCTACCTGACAGGGTATCTGTTGTGGGGAGGGGAAGGAAAAGTGATTGTAAACTGCTCCCTATGGGGACCATAGAGTTTTTGGCCAAATGCTAGTGTGCAATGATGTCACTTCTGGATGATGTCACTTCTGGAGCCCCTCCGCCAGCAGAAGGTAAGGACCCGGCAACCCTAGACACAAAACCAAGCACCTAAGGTTCTTAGTAGCATTTCAAAAGGTCACAGATGGATAACCTGTGGCAAGGTAGGGCTGGCAGGAGACAGCACACCACAGCGGCAGGTGGGCACGGGAACTGAGGGAGGAGCGAATTTTTAGTAATTGTTACGAAAAGCCTGCATCTGACCTGGGGGAGAACTGTATTTTTAGGCCATCTGATTGCTTTAAACAGGCCGCATTTCATTGTGGCTCCTGAATGCAACTTCAAGGGAGGACCTGCATGAACACACCCAAGCAGGGCCACTACCTGCAAATACAGTTCCTTTTTAAATGGATGCAAGATGCACGTGCATCTATCGTTTTAATAGCACAGGCTTGTTTTTTACTGGCTTGTTTAATGGTTTTGTTTTTTAATGGTTGAATTTGAATGGTTTTATTGCTGGCTCTGGAGAACCGACATACAAATTTTCCAAACCAATGTCTCAAGGAGTCCATGGGCTTTAGTAAAAGGGAGCGGGGTCTGTAACATAGTCTAGAGGGACCTGGAGGATGCCAGGACGTTTCCTGCTTCAGATGGGTTGTGGCTCCTGTATGCCTGGGGTCCCCAACATGGAGGAGCCCGTGGGCACCACAGGACCTATCACATCTTTTTATAAAGGGGTCAGGGCCAGATGGGGCTTTTGCTGAGTAAGGCTTCTGATTGGCTGTGCAGATCATTTTAAAATTTGGTATGGCAGCAGCTGCAACCACAGCACAAAGGTCTTTACCAAGTGAATGTAGGTAAGCTGTGGCCTCCATTATGTGGTGGCCATTTTGTAGCAGCCATTTTCTGCCTGCGCCTAACACGCTGTGTCAGAGTTCCAAAGGTGTCTGCAGGCTCAAAAATGTCGGGGACCCCTGCTCTGTGCCAAGGATTTAAAACAAAAGAGGATCTGGAGTGTCCTTTTCCAAAAGGTAGATTATGTAAAACAGACGCTTTACCTACTTGCACACAGCCTCTCCAAATCCTGGATCTCTTTTTTTGCCTCTTCTATTTCCTCAGTCACTTCAGCAAGCGGGGACAGTTCGGCGTGTCTCTTACCCAAAGCCTTTCGATGGTGTTCGCTTACTGAACAGTCATCTAGCAACTGACTAATCCTTTGATACTCTTGGCTTAAAGTCTGCAGATATTTTTGCAGGGCTTCGTGGTTCCACAGTGTTGCTGAGGTCTGGTGATATCTCCTTGACCAGTTATTAAACAGAACAGAACTCACTGCGCTCCACAAGGAGCTGCGCTGAAAGGTATTCAGGTCTACCAAATGCGAAATTCTCTTTGCAAGGAGAGAAGGCAAATGGCGCTGGTCACAGCAATTACTGAACCATGTTCTGTAAAGAGATATCCCTGGGTGAAGTTTCATCTCAGCATGTGTCCTAGAACATAAAAGATAAAAGTACAGGATTTACCATTCATTCTGCATCTATTTAAAGATACAACACACCTCTGCTGTAATAGTTAGATTAATCCCGTGGGTTTTAAAAAACAGATCAGTACCTCATTCTGTAACAATATTAAATTAGCAATGCTGAAACAGTTGAGTAACGTTTCCATTTTACAGACGGGAAACATGGGTTCAGAGATAAGGGCTGAGTTAGACTGCTGGGAAAAACATCAACAACCACAGGTATGCAGGCGATACCACTCTAATGGCAGAAAGTGAAGAGGACCTAAAGAGTCTCTTGCTCAGGATGAAAGAGGAGAGCGCAAAGGTTGGCTTGAAACTCAACATGAAAAAAACTATGATCATGGCATCCGGTCCCATCACTCCTTGGCAAATAGAAGGGGAAGTCATGGAGACAGTGACAGACTTCACGTTCCTGGGATCCAAGATCACTGCAGACGGTGACTGCAGCCATGAAATTTAAAGACGCCTGCTCCTGGGGAGGAAAGTGATGGCAAACCTAGACAGCATAATAAAAAACAGAGACATCTCCCTGCCAACAAAAGTCCGTATGGTCAAAGCGATGCTATTCCCAGTAGTAATGTATGGCTGTGAGAGTCGGACCATAAGGAAGGCCGAGCGTCGAAGAATAGATTCTTTTGAACTATGGTACTGGAGAAGACTTGGACTGCCAGGAGATCAAATCAGTCAGTCCTAAAACAAATCAACCCTGACTGTTCCCTGGAAGGCCAGATAATGAAACTGAAGCTCAAATACTTTGGCCACCAAATGAGAAGGGAGCACTCACTGGAGAAGACCCTGATGCTGGGAAAGATTGAAGGTCAAAGAAGACCGGGCAGAGAATGAGATGGTTGGATGGTATTATCGATGCAACAAACATGAAATTAAGCAGCCTCTGGAGGACAGCAGACGACAGGAGGGCCTGGCATGATGTGGGTCACAAAGAGTCAGACTCGACTATGCAACTGAACAACAACAAAAAGTCTGAAAAAGGATAGCACATTTTTACAGCCTTTGTGTTGCTCAGTTTACAGTCTACACAGTTTATTTAAGTAAAACATTTATATTCCTCTTTTCTCCTGATCAATTGGACTCAAAGCAGCTTCTCTGCTCCTGGATGCAGAAAGGACCCTTGGCAGCTCAATTAACACGGGTTCAGCTTTCATCAAAATAATTCATGACAGAAGAAATCAGTGAATTATATTCCATGTTACTGTCACCAGTTTACCTTCTAGTTTAGAGTACTTGTGTTAATCGCCATATTACACATGGGGGGGGCGGGGGGGGCGGAAGAGCTGAGAGACAGAGAGCAGTTTTCCCTAAATCCGTTTAATAAATTTATGGCAGAGGTGCGGCTAGAACTGAGGATTTTCCAAATCACATATTTTGTCAGCTACTCCACTACATAGGAACAAAGTTTGAGTCCAGCGGCACCTTTAAGACCAACCAAGTTTTCTTCGGGGTATAAGCTAAGTGCACACGAAAGCTTCTACCCAGAATTAAACTTGGTTGGTCTTACAGATGCCGCTGGACTCAAACTTTGTTCTGATGCTTCAGACCAACACAACTATCCAGTTGAATCTATCCACTATTATCAGTTTAGCTGGAAATTCAAAGTCTGGGGTTCTTCAGCTGTTCAGCAAGTAATTTCACCACTACCATTTCCTGGAAAACACAGACTTTTACTTTTTTTTGGCAAATCTAAAATCAGGTTTTTTGGCTATAATAGACTGTGCATACTGATTCAAGGCTCTAACCTTTCAGCTAGCAAAAGGAGAAATTTCTGGCTCCGTGAAGCCATGTTAGGAGATCACAAACCTTTTTGAAGTTAATTAAATTAGAATACATGCCAAAAGGATAGACATTCAGATCCACAGCTTGCACAAGACAAACAGTGAGCCTAATGCTGAGAGGATAACTTCCAGAGGGGTGGCAAAAATTCGGAGAAAGCGCCAGTGATTGCTGGAGTGGCTGCAACCGACAAGCTAGAGTTTGTCATGAAAGTGTACATGACCCATGGGGGGCAATATTATTCTCCCACTTCACCGAAACCTCCCTTGTCTCCTGACTCTCTGCAGAAGGTACACAGGGTGCAAGTGGCTGGTTGGGAAGGGGGGGGATTCTCTTGTGCGGCTCCAGGATCCAACCCAACAAAATAGCCAAACAAAACACAAAAATGCATCAGTACAAGAAATCTGTGTTGAGTGCCATAGGCAAAAAGATAATACATTCAATTAAGAAGAGAGAAACTACATTCAACAATTAGAACAGTTGTTCCTTCATCCACTGTTGTTCCCTGGGGCATGCACCAGCACTGCAGAATCTCTTCCATTTATTTATTTATTTATTTAAATATTTACCACCTTCCAGAGCAGCTGAAGGCAGATTACCAAAAACAAAACGAAGACCCAACAACCTGCAGAAAAGACTTCCAAGTAGCAACAATTAAAGACTTCATATTTTTAACATTTATTTCTTAGGTATAGCGCAGGCTAGTCCAATCCCGTTAGATCTTGGAAGTTAAGCAGGGTCAGCCTTGGCTAGTATTTGGAAGGGTGACCTCCAAGGAATACCAGGGCCATGAGGCAGAGGCAGGCAATGGCAAACCACCTCTGAAAGGTCTCTTGCCTTAAAAACAAGTCTAGCTCGCCACTAAAGAGCTAGAACTTCAGGGTGCCAAACAATCTCAAGATCTCCTGGGTATTCTACACACAACACCATATGATACTTAATTCTTAGGTAAAGTAGTAATTTCTCTGGTTTTAGATCTCTGTATTGCAGCATCCATTACTCTATGGCACCTCTGATCTCACCTTCTGAAAAATCAAGTAAAATTTAAAAAGTCACCCCGCAACGTTTTGTGTCCTTCATCGGGGGCATAAACTGTTCCTAAAATTACCTTGCCCAAGAGTAAGAAATACCAGCCATCTGGTGCAGCTTGGAAAGACGGTGCGGTGTCTCAGCTGGGGTGCCAGACTGGGATCTGGGGGAACCCTGACTGGACTCTTCAGTCTTATATTTTGCCTTTCCACTTAAGGCTTTTAGGTGAAAAGGTACACTGGCCAACTAAAACTCGCAGCCTTTAAACTGTTTTCTTTGCAGCCTGTTTGCTTGAGTCAAATGCAATTTCACTGGTCTGAGCCTTAGAATTAAATTCTCCCAGGACTGCAGCCTTGTTTCTTGCAGCACTTGGTCTGGCAGGTTATGTTCCCATGCCAAGAGCCACCAGTCCACCTGACAGGTCACAGGGCTTCCCTTACAGATAGTAACAACTGTGGAGAGTTAGATTTGAGTCCAGGAGCACCACAGAGACCAACAACCATTTCAGGCATGAGCTTTCATAGAATCATAGAATGTCAGAGTTGGAAGGGACCCTGCAGGTCATCTAGTCCAACCCCCTGCATTCTGCAGGAGCATAGCTGAAAGACAGCCCTACAGCATACCCGGAAGATGGTCGTCCAGCCTCCGCTTGAAAAACGTCCAGCTAGGGAGCATCCACCACCTCCCGAGGCAGACCGCTCAACCACTCTTACAGTGAGGAAGTTTCTCCTGATATTTAGCCGGTATCGACTCTCTTGTCATTTCCACCCATTAGACCTAGTCTTGCAATCTGGAGCAAGAGAGAATAGATCCGCTCCATCTTCTACATGACAGCCCTTCAAATGCTTGAAGACTGCAATCATGTCCCCTCTAAGCCTTCTCTTTCCCAGGCTAAACAGACCCAACTCTTTCTTCCACTCTCCAAACTTATACCCTGAAAGCCTGCTTGATCTCTGAGGTGCTCCTGGACTCAAATCTAGCTGCTCTGCTGCAGACCACAGGGCTACCCTTTGAAACTGTAGACAGGGTTGCCAACCTCCAGATGGGGCCTGGAGATCTCCTGGAATTACAGCTGATCAGTTCCCCTGTTTTGGAGAGCGGACTCTATGGCATTGTGTCCCACTGAAGTTCCTCCCTCCCCAGCTTCCCAGGCCCCACCATCAGATCTCCAGGGATTTCCCAGCCCAAACTTGGGACCCCTGATTTGCAGAGGCTCGGCCGCTCTCACGTTCTCTTTGCAACGGGAAGAGGCAGGGGGCATGCGCAGCCCTCCAAGGACTGTGGCTGCTGTTGTTCAGTCGCACAGCCGAGTCCGACTCTTTGCGACCCCACAAGGACCACATCGCGCCAGGCCCTCCTGTCTTCCGCCGGCCTCCGGAGTTTGCTCAGTTTAATGTCCGTTGCATCTGTGACACTGTCCGACCATCTCATCCTTTGCCGCCCCCGTCTTCTTTGACCTCCCGTCTTCCCCAGCATCAGGGTCTTCTTCTCCAGGGGGGGGCTCCCTTCTCATTTGGGGGCCAGAGTATTTGAGTGCCTTGCAAATCTTGCTTTTTCCTAAGCAAAAAACGCGCTACAGGGAAAAACAGGCAACGGCGTACTTATTAGTCGGCCGACTCCTGAAGCACCTCAACTCCCGGACTGCCACCAGCCCAGTCCGCCGCCAAACGCACGGGACGGACAGGAACCCTGGCAAGGCGGAAGCGCCGGAAAGGCACGGGAGGACTACAGGTCCCAGAAACCCCACTATCTACTCCAGTTCCCAGCATGCCACAGTGACATATAAATATATATATATATATATATATAAACCTTTTCCTCGCCACGATCTCGAAGGGAGCAGATGAGCCACTCAACCCAGTTGATGCACCCAGGCAGGATCAGGCGCCTTTCACAAGAAGAACTAAGGTCCCCCGTCTGAAAATGGCTGCTTTGGAACGTGGACTCCATGGCCTTATACCCCAATGAGGTCCCTCCCCTCCCCCAAATCCCGACTTCCTCAGGCTCCACCTCCAGATTCTCCAGCCCCTTATGGGGAGGGTGGTATATAAATCAAATCAATCAATCAATAAAGGCGGCCGTTTTCTCCAGGGGAACTGACCTCTGTCACCTGGAGGTCAGTTGTCATCCCAGGAGATCTCCAGCCCCCACCTGGAGGCTGGCAGCCCTATGAGGAAGGATATGGGGCACTCAGTGATCAAACGCAGGCCATGACACAGTCTGGGGAGGAGAATCCGGAACATGTTCTTTACAGTAAGCATTTCATGTGTGGCCTCACTTCTGCTGAAGCCAAGGCAGACAGTGGCTGAGATTGCTCCTCTTCTTCGTGATTCTCACCCCCCTGTTGCCATCTCTGTTTGGACCCTTTTCTTCCTAGCAGTTGGACGCTAAGAGTCAGACCCAGCTGATTTCCAGTGGGTCCTCATGAATGTACATGAGCTTTACATTGAAACAAGACCCAACTAACATCATCGCTCATGTCCTTGTTTATGGGCAAAACACCATAAAAACAACAAGTCTAGTGCTTTAGGGTGTTGCCATGACACACACACACAAACAAAAGCATTAGGAACCATGGACCTGCATGATCTTAAAAGGAGACACCCCCCCCCAATTCATGATTAAATCATCTGTCAAAGCCACAATTTTTGTCTCCAGCACCACTGTGCTAGCCGAATCTCTTCCAATGCAACTGTTCGAAGCAGCCTATGACCACCTGATAACACCTAAGTCCAAACTTGCTAATCATGTAAATATGGCTCCTAGTGGTGATGTTGGAGATAAAATCTCTCTCATCCGTTTCAATTTGGGAGGCCAAGGTGAGAGCAGATCCTGTCCCTGAGGTGTCAGAAGCTGCAGCTTGTCCTGTTGTTATGGAGATTCAGACATCTTGTGCCATTGCCTGGGCTGCCCTGGCTTCCCAAATTATGCCAGGAAAAAGGCTTGGTGCCTTGGGCTGAAATTATTAATGGCTCGCAGGCTGAGGGACGCTCGCTCTGAAAAAATGGCAGCTATTGATCCTTTTCTTTTAAAAATGTCATTGGCAGAGGGCGAGGAGGCCAATTATAGGCTGGTCTCCAATTTAAATGGAGGCCACCGACTGAGACTATCCAGAGTGTTGAGGTTGGATGTCATCAACATGCGTGGCACCCAGCTCTGTATTTCATCACCTAAGCCTCCCGATGTGTCTGTCTTGGCTCTAAACCAGTGCTTTCAGGCAGGCTGAGGTGAAGTGATGAAGGCAGGAGAAGCTGGAGATAAATCCAAACACCATGGAGGTGACTCTGTTGGGAGGGGTGATGCTTACAGGGGCTGGGATCCATGGGTTTTCTGGTGCAGTCCACAGGCCTTGATGTGATGTGTGAATTTATAGGGAATTTTGATGGAATCCATGTAAAAAGTGTATGAGGATCCATGTTCTGTGATGCATTTGTCTTGTGTGTCCACTGATGCCATGAAGAGGTGTTTTCTATGGTGCTGTCTATGGCTACTAAGTTTTCTTGTGGATTTCAGTGAAGCCCGCATTAAAACCATGGGGATCTGCAACACAGATCCATGTTTTTGTGTTGTTGGCTCCACAAAGTCCTGGATCATGTTGTTTGTGGTGCAGTCCATAGACCCTGGTGGGATGTGTGATTTCAGAGGCCTTTGTTTTAATGCAGTTTTTGCTCCATGGTGGGACCACACATCAATATCATTTGTGTGTGTGTGTATGGTGCAGTCACAGAACTTGGTGTTATATATTCTTTTATTTGAATCCAGTAACACCTTAGAGACCAACAAGAAAGTCAAAGGTCCCTTGATCAGACATGCGTAGAAAGGTTGGCCTCTAAGGTGCTCGTTGGTCCCTCAGGTGCTGCTGGACTTGAATTTAACTGCTCTAGGTAAAAGGTAAAGGTTTCCCTTGCTCGAAAGCCAGTCGAATCCGACTCTAGGGGGTTGCGGTGCTCATCTCCGTTTCCAAGCCGAAGAGCCAGCCCTGTCCGAAGACGTTTCCGTGGTCATGTGGCCGGCATGACTAAACGCCAAGGCGCACGGAACGCTGTTACCTTCCCACTGAAGTGGTACCTATTTATCTACTTGCAATGTCTTGCTTTCGAACTGTGAGGTTGGCAGGAGCTGGAACTAGAGACCAGAGCTCACTCCTGTCTCGAACTGCTGAACTCCTGACCTGCAGTTCAGTGTCTTACAGACCAACTCTTTTATGGTGTTTGTGTAAAAATCTTAAGGCTGTGTGTTCGACGGATGTGTTCTTTGAAGTGACCATGGATGTGGAGGGCCGCCTCCCGGGGCCTCACTCCCCCCACCACTCCCAGAGGGGCACTGCGGAGTCTCAGGCCCATGACTGTTTTCTTTAGGATAGATCCAGGTGGGCGGCCGTGTCGGTCTGGAGCAGGAGAACAAAGGCCCCGGTTTGCCCCGGAACAAAGTAACGCGCAGCAGCCCGATCAGACGTCCTGTCGAGGTCCCGTGGTTAGGCTGTTAGGTGCCACGGCTAGTCTGCAATGCGGCAAAGAAGCAGCACGGCACGTTCACACCAGCAATCGTGCCGCGCCGCTTCCGTGGCAAATGGGATTTTTTTTTTGTCTCACTGAAGTTTGCGCATGTGCACGATGGTTTGTACGCATCCTGTGGAGACTTAATCTGCCTATCATCCGTGTCTTCAGGGTGGCAACCAATGTTCCCTCTAAGCTGTGGAGTCTCGTGAGTAAAAATCCTACTTTGTGAGCTCCTGGCATGAAAGTTGTGAGTGAGTGATGTGGCCGCTGCAGAAATTAGTTTGCTCTGGAGCCAGCCATCCT